ACAGCTAAAAGTATAGCAAATCTATTTGTTTGATAGTTATTAATCACATGTGATTGATATAATAACTATAATGTTTCAACTTGTATCCCCCCCCCCCATAAAAGCATTTAAAATCATTTAAAAGGATAGATTAAGGGGTATGAACTCACCTGTAGTGAGTGGTACGGAAATATGTTTGGAAATAGACACAAAGATCCTAATAACATATAATGACATGTATGTGTATTTGATTAGTGTATAAACAACTAATTATAACGGATAACACCCTAATAGACTAGTAAACTCTTAGATTGAAGGGATACAATCACATATTATTGCATAACTAAGGTGTATGGCCACCCTAAAGAGTTTACGGTCCAAATGACATGACCAAGTGAGTTTACGGTCAAAATGGTATGGCCATTGGAGTTCACGGTCCAAGTGTTCACGGTCTAATGACCTTACGGTCGTGGAGTTCACGGTCTAAGGAGATTCAACCGTAAACTCATCAAATCTTGCACAAATGATGGTTTTCAAGGGCTTCATTCAAAGGCATCGGATTCTAGGGACCATGCTTAGCCTTAGGAAGGGTAAAGGCTATAAGAACACCCCCTTTATAAGGGTTTACGGTCTATGAAGATGCACTAGACCGTAAACACCTTTTGTTCTTGAGTTTCTTGATGTTTTCTAGTTGTTTAACAAGTGATTCAAGTATATAACAAGCTAAGGGTAGTGTACTTACTTATTAGAAGCTTGAAAGGGTGATTAGGATCCGAGAACACTAGTGTGTGTTCTTGGTGTTCTTGGTGGAATGAAGAACACTTGAAGATCTATCAAAATGAAGAGATTTCATGGATGAAAATCATGTATAATCACTAGATATTGAAGGATATCCACAAATCAAGAGAATAAATACTTACAATCTTGAAGATCTAAGAGAAAAGTTGGATGATACTTGAGAGAGTTTTCGAGATTTTGGCTTGGAAAGGAAAGAAATGATCAAAATGATCATGAAGTATGCATATATGGGGAGTTTACGGTCACCATGACCGTAAACTCAAGGTCTCGACCGTAAACTCCTTTTGAGGAGGTTTACAGTTTGCTAGGTGGTTTGGAACATTAACTGATACATCCAAACACTGATTCCTTTGATGTACTAGGCTCAGAATGCTCAAACAGACTCTAAACAGTGCTAAAAGTTAGCAGAAACGAGTCTGACTTTGATTGAAATGAATGGTTTGTACAAAATAGAAATTTCGGGTTGTCACAGCAGGGCAGCAGCTAGGGATTTCTTTCAGTAAGCTTCTGCATTCGAGGTGAGTTTTCCTCACTGTACTTACGGGTCGAAGACACCAAGGTCGGCCCTTTGGATTGTTATCTTGGTCTATCATATGATTAAGTATTGTGGTGATCTGTTAGATCTGTATCCTGGTAGATAGGATGATGTTATGCTTAGTGTTCTGTTAGATCTGCCTGTTATCTGTTCAGACTATATGTTTTCCAGTAGCATGTGTTGATGTAGTGTAGTTGGGTTGAGACTGTATTGTTTTGTGCTGCCAGTCAGCAAACCCAGTAATGTTTACATCAGTACATTATATGTATGCTTATCTGTTATGTATATGTCGACATGGTTTGTGTGTGTGGTTGGGTTGAGGTGGACCTGCTTTGTGCTGAAGGTCAATAGACCCAAGGTGGCCCGGATAGACTGAAGGCCTGTGAGGCGGACCAGTCAGGCCGAAGGCCCGGAGAACGGTCCAGACAGGCTGAAGTCCAGGTGAGGCAGTCCAGACATGTTGAAGGTTCTTTGAGCGGTCCAGACAGGCTGAAGGCCCGGTGAGGTAGTCCAGACATGCTGAAGGCTCTGTATGCATGTTGTTATTTGTATATGTTATCTGCTTGGGTGTTGGTACTTTGGGGGAACTCACTGTTGAGTTTTGATACGAAATATAAGTTTGTTTTTCATAAAAACCCGGCAACGGGAGACTTTAAAAATAACAAGTTTATTTTTAGTTCATAACAAAACAAAACCATCATGGATCCATTTATATGGGTTAGAATGAAATAAAAAAACCAACCATAGAATGTTTTAGAGATAACATTTGAAGCCTTTGAACCCACTTGGTTTTGGGGTGTTGATGAAGATAGCAAAAATCAAAGTGTATGATTTCTCTACAAGTATCTACCATCAAGAGTAAGGCACTTGAAATGCTAGTTCCTTCTTGTATTCTTGAGTGTCTTAAGCCTTTAAGTGTTTAACTCAAGTAATCACTAAAGGGAACAACTCAAGAGGTCTTCTAAACCACCAAACTAGCTTCAAAAGAGAAAGGAGGAAGATAAGAGAGAGTTTCGGCCATGAGCTTCAAGAGAAGAAATGAGACCAAAAGCTTTCACATTTCTCATTCATAAGACACTCTTATATAGTCTATGAAAGGTAAGACCTTACCATTAAAATAATCTAAAGTAATGGTATCTTTTAGAAGCATGGGAGACAAAAGGTGGAAGGTTGACAAGCAACCTCCCACACCATCATCATACTTTCGGCCATGCTTGTTTAAAAAAGAAAGATTCTTTATTTTTTATAAACTCTAAGGTGATGTTTGTTTTTTCTGAGGCAAAATGTCTTCAGTCTGCGGACCACATCTGTAGACCTCTGCAGTAGAAGAGGTGGACCAAACGTCTGCAGTCTGAAAAAAGAAGATTGTTTGTTTTTCTAACATCTGCGGACTACTAAAATAAACTGAAATCTAAATAAACTGATTTTTTTTAAACTTCAAAGTGATTTTTTTAATATTTTTATGACCTTGTTATAAATAATTAACGAATCTAGATCAACTTTTATGTGTTATTGTATATAAAAAATAAAAATAAAAATGGTATGAATTAATGTATATATTTGATAAAAACCAACAACTTTGGTTGCAAAGTTATAACTAAAGATTATAATTAGTGATAAAAGAATTTGATACATAAATGGATGGAAATAAACTTTGATTTTTTTCAATTAAATCCATTAAAAACGTACCATAAATATTTTCTCGAGAAATTGACGATACTGTATTAAATAATGTTTTACAAAATTTGACAAAAAAATATAAGAATATATTATGATTTTTTTCATATTTATATATAAACAACTTCAAAGACTATTATCGTAATAAATCTTTATTTATAAATTTGTCAAAAATATCATGTTTGTATCGTCGAACGTTTTTTTTTAAGTTTTGTAATATTTTTTTTCAAATTGTTTATCATTAATAAAGTTGGAAAAAATATAAATTAAAAAAAACTTTAAAAAAAAATAAAGATATATATGTTTTTTTAGGCTAGAAGATGTTTGAAGATGTTAGAAGACTCTAGCCCACATCTGCGCCAAGAAGAGGGCGCGCAGACATTTTTAGGTCTGCGCGTGGTCTGCGCGACGCAGACAGAAGAGGTCATACAGATCTGCAGAGAAAAAACAAACACTACCTAAGTTTATAAAATATAAACTTTGTCTTTAGGTAAAAGAAAAAAGAATCCAACTAGTCCAAAATGTTGTGCATGACTTATTAATTCATATCATATAAAATAATAACTAGTAATACTCTCTTATAATTATTAATTTCACAAAACAATAATTATTCCGTAATTAAAATACAAGAATTGATATTATTTATTAATAATCATATACAAAATGTGCTAACTTGATAAAGGTGTGACCCTATAGAATCATGTATTATTAGCAATATCACTTCATAATGATTCTTGGACATATAGATCCAACAATATCTAAGTGTTATATGAGTATTATGTCCTTTTTGGTCCCTTTGATGAGTTATACTTAGAGTTTGGGAAATTCCACGGCTTAGGACTAGTATTTAGTTAAGATCTGGACTTGTGGTGGAGTAAAGAGTCGATGCGTGAGCTCTCTTTTCTCATTTTATGAAGGTTTTGCCTTATAAGATCTAGGGTTTTAGTTTTGGCTTGATTATGACTTGGGTACGGACAAACTTGGTAACATTGTCCATTAAGACACTGAATCGATTTGTATTTAAAAGTATTAGCTTTTGTCGTTACGGATTAAAAGGTTTAGAAAGAAGGTGTTAAGACATTGGGGTGCGACGCGCCTACTGAGTGTCGTGGCACACATTTTGGACCAAGAGCAAATATATTGTTGTGTTGTTTAACGCAACGTGTCAGGTCAAGGTCATAGGGCGCCTAACAGTTAACTTTTTAAACAGATTGACTTAGGTCAAAATTGGTTAGTTTTAGACTATAGACTAAGGTTAAAACTCTATTTGATTTAGGTGGTTGGTATTAACTGGTTTTACGAGTTGCACTAGCATGGCTTGATAGATTGTCTTTGTGACCTATGTATGAAAAACTATTGTTGGACCATAGCGTGACTATGTAATTTCATGACCCCCGATATATATAGATATAGTTTTTAAAAGAATTACTTATGCCATCCAGAAAAGGGTTGACAACACAACTTGTTGCTCGTTTGCCTTCCATACCGATGTAAACGCATCTTCGGTTTGTTTATAGGTTTGTTTATACTATACTGAAAGGGGTATTTTGCTCTTCACAAATGCAGGAAGAGTGGAAGTGTTTTCCTATGAATCCTGTGAAACAAAACTTAAATTCCTTCCGTGGTGGGAATTTTCTAAGTTTTCTAAGTTTTGTACACAATTGCAGCCACAGGCCAAACCAAAAACATAACTGAATTCTATTTCCAATTTCTATAAACTCCATACCAATCAAAAGATCCAAACGCCCCAAACAAATTCTCAAAATAAAAATATGCAACTTAATAAAGAAACAAAAAGAGCAAGCACAAAATCCCAAGAACCAAAGAAAGCTTGATAAAAATGATAACCCGTCATCATAAAGAGGTTCTTAATGCCAAAACGTCATGCCACACAGAATGACCTTTTCCCCCAAGGTTTTCTGTACTTCAATTCAGACTTTGTATGGAAAAACACATTTTTCAGAGACAAAAAAAAAAAAAAAAAAAAAAAAAAAAAAAAAAACTAACAGATACCCTCCACTGAAAATACACAGCCAACTATTCCTTGGGTCCAAGTTGCTAAGCACTCTCCTAGTGACGACTATTGAATACAAAACCCCAAGATTGTGTCCCAAATACATCTGCAATGACTGCAAGAACCTCTACTGCTGCCCTTTCCACACTTTCATTCCTGGAAAACCATGTTCAATAAGTATGCAAGTAGAAAATGGGCTAATATATAAGAAAATAGCAACATACTTTCATTAATTTAGATGACATTGCAATCATTAGGTAGAAATTCTTGAAGTGCAATGCTAGAAAGAAATGAAAGTAGGATATGTTATAATCAACAAATCACTAAAAGTGCATTGCTATTTCTTCAATTCACCCTTAAGTAATCAAGATATTATTGGCTGTGGGAATCTAAAGCATAGTTACCTGTGGACATCCTTTATAACCACCTCGATAAATTTCAAAATATCCGAATTATGAGGGATCAGCACCTCAGCCTTGGAACTCTTCAACCCTTTCAAAATATTGGAATGCGCCTCAAGAATATTCCTCTTAAGATGATTCCCATATTCATCTGTCATGACAGCACAAGGTTCAATGGCCTTTTTCACCCGATGCATAACAGAAGAAACATATCTCTCGAACTTTTCCCCAATCACAAGTGCTACAACGCCAAAACACGAATAAATTAGAGGCTCTACAGACTGATTCAACTCATGACTAGAAAGAGCTTCAAGAAGCAGTCTCATGATGTTAGCATGATGCACGAACTCTAACAAAATCGGTTTTGTTTCCTTCAAGCTGCTGAGTTTTTGAATGATCACATGCAAAAAACCACACCATAAGGATTGTAAATCTCCTTGCTTTGCTTTATCAGCTTGTGAGAGGTTTTGATAAGTTTCAAGTTTGGATAACACAAAAGTGAGGAGTGGTTTGATGAATTCAGAAACATCTAAACACCTTACAACTTTACTCAGTGTCTCATACGCAGCAGCTGCCAGAAAAAAAAGCCTTTGTTCTATTCCTGCAACAGTTTCAGGATCGCCTGTTACGATTGTGCATCTTCTTTCAGCAGTTTCAACAAGTGTTTGTATGATTTCAATAAGATAGGGGGACAGAACAGAAGAGCCCGCTTTCCAAACCTTCATACCCTTGCACAATATAATATATTGCCTCACACCCTTCTGCAGCAAGATAGGATGATCGATCCCATTTCTTAGCATCATCGGGTGATGGATCTTTGATACTTTTTAGAAGGACCGGTATGATTTGTTCTATGTTTTCAGTTGAAATTATGGAATGACCAGTGGCAGGGCTGTGTAAAAACTGGAAAATACGGATTAGAGTCCTTGAGGTAATCTTTTTCACTTTCTTATGAGTATTTTTATCTCCCATACCATCAAGCAGAAATCTTAAAAGAGGCAAGACGTAAGGGGACAACTTTTCAACCCTTGGACCTTCAAGAATGGAACCGAGTGCATATGTGCCGGCCCAATGAGACCTCCATTCAGACTTGTGCTCTTGAAGTTTAAGTTTAACAAAGTACATAACTGAATCTACAATGGAATCCCCCACCTTTCTCGCAATAAGACCCAGACAATTCCCCCCTGCCAATGACAAATCACAAATACGACTTTCATTATGTTCATCTTGCTTCATTAAAGTTTTTAGAAGCAGTTCAACTAGTACAAGACACATCTTTTCTATGAAATGGAAATGGGGGCTTGATCTATTATCTCGACGCTTAATCTCTTGATCACAAATACAACTCCAAAACTCGATTGCTTGAATACCAACCAAGTCGTCTTTATCTTCAAAAAGCTTTTGTTGTTAACACATAAAGGGTTGAAATATGACACTCCAAAAAATCATAGTAAGTCGATGCAATCGAGACAAGGCATTCAAAAGCTTTTCTTTTGATGTGAGTATCTTTATCCTTAGCTACTTCACAGACCACACCCATGATCCAAATCCTATCCACCTCAATTTCAAAATTAGGCCGAGCCAAGTTAAGTGTGTTGTATAAAGCTGTGACTGCAGCTAGACGAACACCGCTCTCTTGGGAAACATTAATGACATTAACTACAGCTTCAAGGACAATATTAACTTGATTTTGAGTAAGTGGATAGTGCGATATTTCTTCACAAACATACGCAAGTGATACCAAACTTGCTTGCATTAATATTGGCTTATCTTGTTGAGACATGTTACTACATAAAGTGCAAATGAAATTAGACCAATCATTTCTTGGGATATCTATGGAAGCAATTTTGGCGATTACTTGGGCTGCAGTGTGGCCTGCTTCGGGATTTGGTGAGCCGAGAGTGTCTAAGAGTAACTGCTTAATTTTGTTTTTGATTAAAATTTTCATATTCACCCAATCCTCCAAAGAGTTCTTGAGCACAATACCCGCCAATCCACGGGATTTCAGAGATTTATTCTCATTGGAGAGTTCTTCTGACAGAGAGACAAGAAATTGAGAAAGGTTTTCTTCCTTAAGTTTCTTGAGTTTTTTTGGTACTGTACTTTGGACTTCTGCTTCTTCTGATACAGCAGCTGATAGGAATTCTGCAAACTCCATGTCCTTCTTCTCTTAAAACAATACATGAAGTACAATTAGTCTCTTGTTCCATAGTTTCTTTTCCACAGTTAAAAAACATATGAAAATAACGCATAACATTTAGCAATTTAGGTAAGAAGAAACCGAAGCTGAACCATGTGAAGCAAAAAATATCTCATCAAAACCATAAGCAACAATAGCAACTTGAGTAACAAGTAGAAAATAATAGGGCACTGAACAAAATTTAGTTCAATGGTGCAACAGTTTACAATACAAACTATAATCAGAATTTTCTGTAGCTTGATAAAAGCATTTCTGCTGAACGTAATATTAGATTAAATCTACCATATAAAGCGCAACTTGCGAACGTTATCCGAAACCCCACTTGTTATTTAAAAAAAAAAAAAAAAAAAAAAACCCTACATATCAAAAATTGATAGCCCGTCTTCCCCACTCGATGACATTCAGATTCAGATGCAAATACAAATATCTAAACAGATTTTGATTGAAATTTCAACAAAAGTAGAAATGGATGTGAAAATTATTCGAAAAGTTTACCGATTGAGATGGATGACGATGGATGACCGTGGGTGAAAATTGGGGAAGCTTAGGGATGACAAAGACACCGATAAAGTCGTTTCATGAGAGCATCTTATCCGGATTAATCGATGTATGGCATTAAAAAAAATTGTAAAAAAGTACCGGGGTTTTATCATTGTTTTACATTATTAACTTTAACTTTTTTTTTTTATATCTTTTATTAATTTAATATTATTTAATATTTTATCGATTGTCTATAATAGTTTTATATTTTGGATATAATTAATTTTATTAATTTTTGTTTGAACAAAAGTAAATTGTTTTTTCTGCTAGATGATAATCATTTTTATTACATTTTCCTTATATGAAATTATATTCTAAAATGATTTATGATTATAAGTTGTTAATAGGCATCTTTGTTCTTTTTAGAAACATAAAGTATTTATCGTTTAATATTAATCTAAAATATAATAACAATTCAAATTAAAGATTTTACTTCAATAAATAACAAACCAAACCTCCGACCGGAATAAATATCACCTTTGTTCCCATCCGCGTGTTGCCCACCGTCATTTACTTCCAAATAAAATATCATATTTGTTCCCATAACAGTCTCTCTCCCAGTTTGATAGCTGTTCTTCACAGTTGAGACCGGAATCGCTCTCACCACTACCACCACCCTATACGCCGCTGCTCACCACCACCGTATACAAACATGAGTGCAATCGATCATCTCCATTGACTCACGCTTCCCACCGTTTTCATCTTGCCTTGCTTATCTCTTCTTTGTCTGTCGTCTCCCGTTAATGGTTTGAAGATGACATCGTCAGCTTTTCCAAGATCGCCTGCCTTCTTCCCCAGTGATGGTTATTGTGGCTGAAATCGGTCCGGTCATGATAATCGATCCATCCTATTTCTCATATTTCATCCTTCAGGTAAAAACTCTAACTTTTTGTTTGAATATAGTTAATCATGCTATATTTATCCCAGATATGACTACATAACTGTCCAGGTTTGACTGTAATGTCCAACTTCCAAATAATTTTGTTTTGGTCTTCTTGTGATACTCGTTCTAGTATATATATATATATATATATATATATATATATATATATATATATATATATATATGCATTTATGTATACTTTTATAAAATACTGATATATTTTAAAGTATAACTTGTTGTCAGAGTTCTTTAACCCCAATATATTTATAGTTGTATATCTTTTATGAATTGATATACTGAGTTCACTATAAACAATGCTCTGATACCAATCTGTCACACCCCCAAACCAGAACAGCGGAAACATCCGGGGGTGGGTGACTTCATGTCAAGTATCACAACACATGCATTATAGTAATCAAAGTACAACAACCATTGCATTAATAATGTATAAGTTTTTACACAGGTGTTCAAACATTGAACATTTGACATCAAAAGTAGATAAAGTAAAAGACAAAAGACGCAGCACTTTCATAGGCTGTCTTCTCAAAAGCTTTGGGAGTGTATCTGTCTACTAGATTCCCTGAGAATGCAAGTTATTTTGAAAGAGATGATCAACATTTAAGTCGATGAGTTCATAAGCATTAGTTTCGTTTATGGTTGCCTTAGTTTTAAGAAAATGATAGAATGAGTTCCAGAAAATCCCCTTATTTTCTATTACAACTGAAAAGTAGTTTTAATACCATAAAAACGTTCCGTTTAAGTGTTATTGTACTCATAACATAATATAACATAATTTTAGTTCACAATAGGACTATAAGAAGACTGTTTTATATATTGTTATGTTTTATTTGTTATAAACCGGTACTTTGTAGATGTACCCTTTTAAATAAAACCTGGTACTTTGCAGATGTACCCCGGTACTTTGTAGATGTGCCCCATATATATAACCCGGCACTTTGTAGATGTACCCCATATATAACCCGGTACTTTGTAGATGTACCCCATATATGCCACACCCCAAAAACCGGAACAACGGAAACGTTCTAGGGTGGAGGACGTCATGTTTAGTATCACAATTCATGCATCATAGTAAGCAAAGTAGTAAACAACTATTTCATTAGAAAGAAAGTGTTTATAAAGTATGTGATTCACATAATATAGAATACATAGCAAATAACAAAAAGACATGAAACTATACTGCTCCATCTTCTGAATCCCAGTGCGCGTACCTGTCTACTGGTCTCCTGATAATACAAGTTATTTTGAAAGCATAGATCCGCATTTAAGTTGGTGAGTTCATAAGTATTTAAGTGATGTATTAGTAAGTTGAAAGCCCTTTTTGAAAAGTTCGCCTGTTCCTCAAAAGATCCTATACCTTCTGATGTGATGAAAAATAAGTATAAATGACTCTACAATCCGTTCTATGAGTACTAAATGAATATAAGTTATATATAATACAAATCAAACAAACAATCGACTGTGTGAATCTGCCCTAAACCCACAACCAAACAAGGAACAGGGAATGAGGCGGAGGTCACACATCCCATTGTTTGTTAGAACTTCATTGTATATAACTCTGGTGTATTCATTTGGTACTCACGGGGTTAACTGTAATAGTTCTTTTAGTGAAAATGATAACCACCATAGTTCCTTCTATAATCACTTAGTTTACACCAGTTATATATGATCTAATATCGAACAGGTAGTTAGTTGTGTGAATCTGCCCTAAGCCCACAACCAAACACGGAACAGGAAGTAAGGCGAAAAACACACATCTAACTATCTGTCGGATATTACATATATATAACCTGATGTGTAAACTAAAGTATTATAGAATTAACCACTTAAGGTCCTTTAAGTTGTACTGGTTTAATAAAAAGGATTAAACCTTTCACTGTTAAGTTTCTAGTTTAGTTTACTCATTGTTCTATCTGAAAGTATGTTTTTGTACTAGAAGCCGATGTATTGAATTTGTATACTATGACCTGACCTATACCTGGTACTCCTTATGATTACTTGGTGTATACGGAATATATATATATATATATATATATATATATATATATATATTCAAGATCGAATAGATAGTAGACTGGGTGCATCTGCTCTAAGCCCACAACCAAACAAGGAACAAGAAATAAAGCGGAAAGTACACATTCTACTATTTGCTGGACTCAATTAATATATATCCTTAATGTATCTACCAAGAAATCATAAAGTTAGCATTATAAGTCACCTTCTAACTGAATGTTTATATTACGTATTTTACTTATGTTTAATGTTTTTCTTGTATCATACATCGTGTTTACTAACCCTGGTACGTTGTATTTGTACATTTGTTATTGAAACCCGGTATGACGTTGTACCTCGTGTTTGCTAACCCTGGTACGTTGTATTTGTACCGTTGTTTGTGCAAACCCGTAATGATATGTTATTAATTCATTTTGTTAATCTGAGTTTTACATATGTTTATGTGTTTCTTGTATCATACTCTGTGTTTGCTAACCCTGGTACGCGGTATTCGTACCTTTGTTATTGAAACGCGGTATAACGTAAGTGTCATTCTTCAAGTTTGCTAACCCTGGTACGTTGTATTTGTATCGTTGTTATTGAAACCCGATATGACATTATACCTCGTGTTTTCTAACTCTGGTACGTGGTATTCGTACTTTGGTTTATGCAAATACGGTATTCTTGTGTAATTTCATGATTTATTCTCCTGTTATAGTTATAGTATGTTCCTTCTGTTATCGTGTATTGTATCTTCCTTCCTGAGTATGTTCTCTATGTTATCGTGTATTGTATCTTCCTTCCTGAGTATGTTCTCTATGTAGTATGTTCTAGTATCTAGTATGAACTGAACCTCTAAACCATACCTATTATAGTTTACTAGTATGTTTACTAGAACTGTTACTGACTTAAATAAAAGTCTCATTTATCTACTAAGTTATGATTGTACTTTAAAAACGGAGTTTTATAAACTATAAAGTAACATAAATTATAAAGAGTTTTTGAAATGTTTTGATTACTCATGAAACATAAGCAATCCTTTACAATGATGTTTATAACGAAACATTTACACAATTATCATTGTGTTCAACTTGTATTTCCCCCCTTAAAAGCATTTAAAACAGTTGAAAGATTTATTATAGGGGTATGAACTCACCTTATGTAGGTGATTCAATTGCAGCTACGCGTAAGGATGAGAAGTTCCACAAATGAAGTCCCGAGACACAAACGAATCCTAAATGACATATATTGGCATGAATATAGGGTTTAGAAGCAACTGCATGCAAGGAAACACCTTTAGGGACTAGGAAACACTTGGACTAAGTGTTAGAATCAAATGTGATTCAACTAAGGGATGTTTACGGCCACTATATGGTGTTTACGGCCATGAGTTTACGACCATGGAGTTTACGGCCGTAAACTCATGGTAAAAGGTGCATAAGAGGGTGTTTGAATGATAGGGAAGCTTGTGGTACTATTGCTCTACAAGAGGATGAGCAAAACTAACTTTTTAGGAGATGTTGAG